GCGTTGGTACTGTCGAATTCACAAATTATGAATTATTGAAAATTAGAAACAACTAAATAGCGGCGTATGTTATGCCGCGGGCCGGCTCGTATTTTATAAAATAAAAAAAGTGTATCTTGTCACACCGCTACCTTTACCCCCCCCCCCCCCCCCCCCCCCCCCCACCTCGCGAATATTCACAAAAATATAAAAGCTGCTTCTCCTGATGAATATAACGTCATCATTGACTACACCAACATCATTCTTTAATTAGTTTTTTTTTTTTTTTTTAGAGAAGCTGGGTTACTATTTGTATGGATACAAAGTATAGAGCACAACTACACCACACACGGTAGCTTCTAACAGTGTTAAGTTCACAAAAGCACTCCTGTAAAAAAAAAAAAAAAAAAACACGAGTTTTTTTCTCCTGAAGCAAAGATCTGCTCGTCTCCCGACAATTTATCGGGTCATCTAAAGATCTTGGATCCCTATACAGTGGCGTAGCGAGGTCGGGTGTCACCCGGTGCGGCACTTAATGGTGTCACCCCCTCAGAGGCGTAGCGACAAACTTTCAAATTTTCGATTTGCACCCCCCCCCCCCTCGAACTTTCGATTTGCACCCCCCTCAAGTTTTCGATTTGCACCCCCCCCCTCGAACTTTCGATTTGCACCCCCCCCCTCAAGTTTTTCTCTATATATTTTGCTATTTTTTGCCTTGGTGTCACCCCCCTAAATGGTGTCACCCGGTGCGCTCCGCACCCCCCGCCCGCCCCCCCCCCCCCCCCTCGCTACGCCCCTGTCCCTATAATCCAACCCAGACTAGCATTCGTTTCAAAATAACTCGACATCGTCTTTCCGATTATCTGCAGCTATTTTTGTATTCTTTCGTTAAATGAATGTCCATCTTGGAATATTTATGAATAGGCCTACATTTCGAGGTTTATATTTAAGCCTCAACAACATTTTTTTTATCTCCCCTGGTTGAATGTATAATTGTATTGAGTTGTCTAACTTTTATAACACTATCCAATTAATTCATTAAAAAAAACCAGAGAAAACTGCAGCCTGTGTTCGATATATCCCCGACCGATGTTAAGCTTTAGCGTTACAAATTAAATCTATGATAAGAATCTATATTAATATTAATGATGAATGATATTAAAAACAGAAAAAAAAGTGTTTTCGTTAAAACAGGAAAAAAAAATGTTGGTGTGTTGGTGTAGCGTACGCTAGTAGTAAATAAAATTCGTGTTATGTCGGACAAACGCTTTAAGAAGGTAAGTCTTCATATTATTTTTAATAATTTCTTAAAGTTTTTTTTTCGACAAGATTTTTTTTCGCTAGATTTACTTGTTTACCAAATTTCACAAAAAACCAGAGGCGTAGCGACCCCTCCCGGCGCCCGGGGACAAACTTTCGATTTGCACCCCCACCCCTTCCTCAAGATTTCGATTTGCACCCCCCCCCCCCTCAAGCTTTCAATTTATTTTTCCAAACCATTTTGGCGCCCCCTAAGGTCGGCGCCCGGGGACATACGACCCCCCCCCTCGCCCCCCCCCCCTCGCTACGCCTCTGACAAAAACGTATACATTTTTCCTCTTATTTTAGGATCAGTGTGAGCATAAAGTTATATAAAACATTTACAATTTTTTGCAAATGAAAAGATAACAAAAATTCGTAGCGGATAATGAGTGTTTTGCTGTTAGACCGCCGTTGTGGCTAACGGCTTCACTAGTATAAAGCCCAGCAATTTTCGCCCTGTCGATTCCGCGTGTAAGAATATCCGCGAAGGTTTGGGTTTTCCCGAAAACGCGCTTATCTGCCAAGGCTTCTATTTCTTTTCAAGTAGGCCTTCAATAAATTAAAGTATGTTATAAAGCATTAGTGGCTTATTACCGTGTTATAAAACTTATAACCTGATAATACTTGTCGATTAGTCCTACATATTTGCTCTGCTAGTATCGTTGACAGCGATATTTCATCGCTAAATTTGAACTTTCCCTAGACCAAAACTTACCCCTGCTTTAGTAAACCTAACCCCAAAGTTTTAAGAACCGTATCTCGCTAGACTGTGTGTGGTTATTGCGAATGGCTACTCGAAAAAAGACACAGCCTTGACCAAGAAAATGACATCATATTATCTATTTGTTCTTTCTTAAGATGCAATGTGTAGGGGGGAGGGGGGAATTAGGGTTGCTAAGTTGGTAAACAATGATACAAGTCTTCTCCCTTTTATTTAGTTTGAGCAAACAAACACAGCCAAGTCCTTACACCAGGGGTCGGCAACCTGCGGCTCGCGAGCCGCATGCGGCTCTTTTGACATCAAGATGCGGCTCTCCAGCTCCTTGAACAATTACTAATAATCTTAATAAAAAAATAAAATATTTGAAATTTAAAAAATGTTAGTGGCTCTTTAAAACCAGGGAAATTTTGAAAATTGTAGCTTTTGGCTCTTCCGCCTCAAATGGTTGCCGACCCCTGCCTTACACCGTTAGCCAGCGTGAAACTTATACGGTGCGCAACACTTCCTGTTAAAACGGTGTGCACTAACGAACCGTATAACCCCCCGCCTGCAGTTCAATGATTATTGTTTGTGTGGTTAGAAGCGTCGCTGTGAAATTAAGTACGGGCTTGTATTTCCGTTTTAGTTGTGTCGTCGTGTGTAGCCTTGCTTGAGTTTCACATTGATAGATATGTTTTTAAACTGCTGGAGGTGACGTGTCCGTGTATTTACACTAATGCACCACTCCGCTCCTTTATTTGATAATACAAAGTTATCACCCCTACGTGGAGTGTAGCTCAATGAATGAATCACCTTAATGGTGCAACTATGAATAGCTAGGCTACTTAGCCATTCAAACCGCTAAGCAAGAAGGATAGCATGTTTTTTTTTCTCCTGATAACCAGAAAAGACGTTGAAGGTAATGTAGTTTTACATTTAGCTACACATTTTAAATATAGGGACGCTGTTTTCGATACGAATTCAATTGTTCTTTAAATTAAATTGTAAATTAGACAAGTAGGCCTACATCTTGTTTTTCAGTATGGTGATGATCTTTTATCGAAACCTCAATTACTTTGATAATTTGACAGTACTAAAAACAACAGCATCATCTTTGCCGTTGTGTTTATGATTTCTGCAGTCACGCATTGAGCTTATCAATTTCTTATAATTGTTATTAATTTGTTATCATTTATGATATTACGCGAGGTAATGCAGGCTTTACAAATGAATTCGCATTACTGACTCTCCAATCCCATATGTTCATATTATAGTGTGTAAAAGTATGTTGTAAAACAGCACGATGCGGACTTTCGATCACGTCGCAATAAAGTTCACGTAGGCTAGATATCTTCAAACCAACAACTCCTGTAGTCTAGTTACAACAATGTATGTGTCGCTCCCCCACTCCTCTCCTTGCTGCGCCATCGTGTTCGTGTTGATTTTAGTAAGGGTTTACAGTCAGTGGCGTAGTCAGTGGTGGTGTTACCGAAAGTTATTTTCTACGGTCGCTTTTTGTTTACAATTTCAAAATTTTGGATGTCATAAAAAAACAACACATGCCACCCCCCCCCCCCCCCCCGACCTACACAACAGTACTAATTTCTGATTATGTCACCGTGTTTACACATAATTTTTAGTGTGGGTTGATTAAGTTGTAGCAATTGCGTGAAGACTATTGATGACACGCCTTGCGATGCAAGTGAAGGCATGTCAGTCAATCGAAGTTTAGTTTGCCGATGTAGGGATAGTCTGGACAAATGTTCAGTGTGATTCATGATCGGAACAAATGTTCCAGTGTGATACAAAGTTCAGAACATAAGCCTATAATGTGAACTAGCTAGCAAGGATACTGTTGCCTGTACCCAACTCAGATCTAATACGATGTAATGCGACCCCTTACATATCCTAACACGACAACACGGGAAAAACAACGGGGCCAAATGTTGTGCAGAGTACTCACGATCAATATGAGGTCGAAAAAACACGTTACTATTAATAGGCGTGAGTACACCCACATACACGCCAGTAATTAAACAGCTACTTCGTCTACTCCATTTCACCCGCCTTAAACCATTTAATAACATGTCCAATCCTAGACTAATGTACAACCCCTCCCTATCCTATGGTTTCAACTATATCAAGTCACATGACCATATCCCCCACCCCCACCCACTTTCTATACAGACTATGCACGCACGTTTTTTTATATATTTAATTGATGCAGGGGATTAGGATGGGCAAAGAGGGGAGAAAGTAGGTCAAGATATAGTTAGGAATTAATCAATGACCCGTGTGACGTGTGTAAGGGAATGTCTAGGTTAGGTCTTTTAAACAACGGTTACAAGAAGGCTATCAACAGAAAACATAACTTTTTTTCCTACAAATAGCATTTAGAAATAGGTCTTAATCTATATAACATTAAAGAAGCCCCTAACTGTTTGTGTGTTTTGGCATAAACTTAAGGGTACGGCCTGAGTTGTAATTTAGTCTGCTAGAGTAGGCCTACTTAATATTTTTTTCTTTCATCCTATCAAAGAAAACCAGTCATCTAATAGTCACTGATCCCAGTCTATCAGAACATCTTTTATCAGCATATGTGTAGGTATATATTATATATATATATATATATATATATATATATATATATATATATATATATATATATATATATATATATATGTATGTATGTATACCGGTATAGGCTACATATTATACGGTTATATGCATATTGAGCTGATATATTCAGACCAATGAGAGCTGGTTTTACAGAACGACGGTTGTATTGATCATGTATCGATTATAGCCTACCGCTTGAATCATCGAAAATAAAGGATATTTTTAAAATAATTAAAGTACATTTTCAAAACATTTACACTGTTTACTGAAAAATTATAAATTTACTCGCCGTGATAAATTGTTAACGATAAAATATGTGTGTGATTGAAACATATTGATGGTTAAAATGAACAAAAATATTAAATGACAAGGGAAGCTACTCTGGAAAAAGAAACTGATTGGCAGCCATGTTCTAGCATAAATTGTGAAAACATTAGTTATGGTAGTCGGATGATTTGGATGAAACGAGAACATTTTAGGGTTTTGGAATAATTTAAAAAGCAGGTATGTATTTTGGTAACATGTATGCCTATCGCCGTTGGTTGTTATTGATTAATCTTAGAGTGTTCTTACTAATTTTATAAATAAAATAAAATCCTTGGATTGGAAATAAAAAATAATTTATTTTTTAAAAGTTTTTATAAAACAAATTTCCGAATCTGTAGGCCTAAGAAATGGTAATTTTAGTAAATAATTCGTTTATTATAATATGAGAGTAAAAAAATAAATGGCTCAGGCTAATGTTCAAATCGATGCGCACATTACATTCCTTTATGTGTCGTAAAATGTGGCATGTTGACACAGCAAACAGTGAAACACAGGATGATCTGTCTTGTTGCACTGCCGGTCTCTGATCGATTTTTTTTCATCTTCAGTAACAAGTGAGGAGCACGTACACTAAGAGAAGGAGAATATTAAAAGATTATAGCTTCAAATAAAGTGTATTATGAGTTTCAACTACGATTTTCTTTTATTTTCAGAAACTGGATATAACCACAATTTATTTTTATTCTAAACCATCAAAAAGAACCAAATTACCTGGGGAAAAATGGATTAAAATTTTTAAATTGTTTAACCAATGACAATGATCCAACGACTACAAGTTTTGATATCGAACGAGTGAAGGGTTCTTACAATGGAAAGCCCATGGGGCGACAGGGACTGGCAATACCTAACGGATTATAGTGACTTGCCACTGTGCATCCTTCAGTTGGACCCAGCTGATAGGGCAGTAATTCGGATAGCAGGTAAGAACTCTGCTTAGATAATTATACCTGTTGCTTCCCTTTGTGAATGTCTATACTTGACTCATGTTCTAGTCTAGTCATCCTCCAATAATAGTTATTGATCTGTCTTGTTTTGTCATATTTGTGAGTCATGTTTATATTTAGTAACAAGAAGAATCAAGGGATAAATTCTTTCACTATTGCTGATACATCTTTTTTTCCCCTTAAAAATGTATCAAGTATTAATAAATTGTCCTTCATTAGTAAATCTAGATTTAGCTGTATTTGCTGTGGAAGTTTTGTAAATCCATGATTGATTTGAGCTCAGTTTAAACACATTTCAAAAGTTAAAATAAAATGTAAAAATCCATTTTAGTACATGCATGAGTACTATAGTGTTTTGGTTAGATTTATAAATTTAGTTAGATGTTAGGCTTAACATGTAATATAACAGTTAAATTAAAATTGTGATTATCAATGAGAAATTTCTTTTCTTTATTTTTTCCAACACAATTAAGTATTAAACATCATGTTATGCACCATATAGTATAGTCTATGTGAGAAACAATGTCTCTCCTTTTGATGGTGTGTTTTAATAAGTAAGCATATAATACTGTGTTTTATTCACAGAAGGCCTAATAATTTGGTAGCCTACTTGTAAAAATGTCAGTAGGTTAGGCCTATAAAGAAGCTATATTTAGACCTATAAAGAAGCTATATTTTGCTAGTATCACTAACATAACCCTAGCCTGACCTATAAAACTGAAGTCTAGGCCGAGTCGAAGCTATAATATGATTCTATTATCTGTATCTCTAGCTTAAGCCACAAAACTTATCTCTCACCTAAACAGTAACACTGGCATTAAGAAGCAGGATTTAATTTTTTTTACAGAGCTGCTATCTTTTATATTGCTGATCTATTTACCTTTATATTAATTGATAAATTGACACTGATTTTGGTTAGTTGGAATATAGTTTTTATGTTTTATTAAACAATAATGCATTAAGTCCCTTAAGTACTTTTATATTCATGTTGAAATAAATTAAAGCAAAATTTAAGCTTTTAGATCTATGTGCATTGTGCTAAAATTTCTTTAGTCAAACTTGGTTTACGAAAAAAAACATGTTTTTCCCACTTAATTGTACTTCTATTGATTAGCTATAAATATAGATTTAGTTCAAACTTCAGTAAAAAAAATTATTTTTATATAGGTCTGGGCTAGATTTATTCCTTGATAAAAGAAAAATTTCAGGGTTGGTTATATTGAGGCGAATACGCGAACTATCAATGTAACAACAGATTAAATGAAAAATGTTGAACCTAAAACATTTAATAACAACAATTACAACTGTCATATGTCCCTATGTGTTGTTAAGAATGTATGTGTAGACCCCCTTGGCAATGCTCTCACTAACCTTTCATTATGAGTTAAATGAACCATAGATGAAAACAGTAAGATTACTTGATTATAAAACGGGTTATAGTTTTTTTAGTTAGTTAGTTATGTATGCACAACCAACATAGACTTTGTTTTATAATCTTACATGATTTAAATAACCTGGCATGCACCCTCCAAAGTGTTTTTATAGTCAACTTACAGATATTTCCTGTTATGAAACCATCCAAGCATTCACTGTGTTGGCCTGTCTAATTTCTATCCTGTAGAGTAGTGTAGAATGGGCTAATCCATAGAGTTTCAAAACACCTGCATCAGTAATGATCAAATGACACAGGTACCTGCAAATGGAGAAACCAAAAGTTAAAGTTGTGTTACTTACACCAGGTGTGATGGAACACTGTGCCCCATCATACACCTATGTGCTGTGGTTAGCAGGTTTCCAACACACCTGTTCTAATGATGATCAAATGACATATTTACCTGCAAACAAAGAAGCCAAAAGTTGTGTTACATACTCCAGGTGTGATGGAACACTGTGCCCCATCATACACCTATGTGCTGCTATGAGCCGGCAACACAGGAATGTCTCCCATTGTAACCAACACAGACCAGCTATGCGGGGCCTAGTGCTGTACTGTACCCACTGTTGTGTAAAGCTATTGTACTGCTGGTCTACAGTACTGCTGCATGCTAGACTTTACAACCATACGGTTACATGTGTCTGCCTAGCTCCACCCTTCCCTTTGATTGAAAACCTTTTAAAATAATGTATGTGTTGTTTTTTTTTCCCCTGTTTAAAAACACACATAAAGTTAGCTACAAAATATCAATTCTGACGGTTTACTTTAGTACAACTGTGTCACATATTCAGCCTGATGCCCTGATTTAGCCCCTCCCTCCTCCCCTCCCACCCCCTCACACACATTAACACCCCCCCCCCCCACCCCCCAACCAACGAGACCGTATGTGCCCGTGTATAAATCCAGTGACATGAAGCGTGGTGCCTATAACTTTGTGATTGTGGATTTACCGGCTTTACGCAGCTATGTCAGAGACGTAACGCCCCCACCACTCCCCCAACCAACCACCCACCCACCCGTGTATGATATTCTCTTCTACGTTCCATTCAGTATCGTCCCGTCTCTCTCTCTTTCGCCCCAGCATTTCTCCTGTTATTGCGAGCGTAGCAGCTAGATTTGAGGGTGGTTGTCGGCCTTACCTGTTTACTGGATGTGTAGAAACCTGTTGTGTTGAAAGGTGGAGCGCTGGAAATGTTTTCTTTATTTATTTAATTTTTTTTTTCAAGAATGTTAATGAGGAAAATCAAAGTGCGTTAATTAATGAGTGTGTGCGGACGGCGGTGTTTGGTTTTTCTTAGTTCAATATTGGCGATGACTAGACGTGCTACGGTTGGGCCAGGCAAGCTGTGAAACACAAGGGATAATGAGATAGTGGATCGTTATGTAACTGTGTAACTAGGCGCTCATCTTTCGACGTGGACGTTTTTAGCTGTTGGGTTGTTGTTGTTTTTTTTTTCTGTGAAATAGTTGGACATCTAAAGTGCTTTAAGTTGTTCAGGTTTTAAACTTTTACTGCAAGTTATTTGCGTTTTAGTACTGTTATTTATTCCAGGAAAATTATGAAATGTGTAATATTGTGTTTTTTTTTTCCTGTTTCGGGTTTAATTTCCGGCACTAGACTGTGTTTTTGTGTGTTTTTTTTACCGACACAGAGTGAATTATTTATACGTGTTTGTCACATCAAATGTGTAGTGATGTGCGAGGTGTTGATTATGTCCCTTCATTGTCGCTGTTACCAGATGCTATCTGATCTATGAGCTCGTTAGAGATCATATAATGAATGGCTGTGTTTGAATGGTGACTGTTTCACCGCAGTGGTAGGGCAGGTGTTATCGATTAGGCAAGTGGATATAGACTAGTGAAGGGTTTCTCATTGGATTACTATTTCATCTGTGGTATAGGGCTGGTTATTTAATATATCACTTGTTTTTTGTCTATGTATGGCGCAGGAATGGTTTCTGCTGTAGGACTGTTTATATTTGGTGTAGGACTGGCTATATCAATTGTTTATCCTATGTCTGATGTTAAGACTGGTTATATTTAGTGCAGGACTGGTCACACCTGTTTTATGACTGGCTGTATCTCAACTTTTTTCGTTGTATCTAGTTTAGGAATGGCTTTGTGTATAACTGGTTACATCAATTGTTTGTGTATATTTGACTAGTTATATTTGGTGTAGGACAGGTTATATTTTGTGTAGGACTGGTTATATTTGGTGTAGGACTGGTGATATTTGGTGTAGGGCTGGTGATATTTGGTGTAGGGCTGGTTATATTTGGTGTAGTACTGGTTATATTTGGTGTAGGACTGGTGATATTTGGTGTAGGGCTGGTTATATTTGGTGTAGGACTGGTTATATTTGGTGTAGAACTGGTTATATTTGGTGTAGGACTGGTTATATTGGTGTATGACTGGTGATATTTGGTGTATGACTGGTGATATTTGGTGTAGGACTGGTGATATTTGGTGTAGGACTGGTTATATTTAATGTAGGACTGGTGATATTTGGCGTAAGACTGATGATATTAGGTGTAGGACTGGTTATATTGGTGTATAACTGGTGATATTTGGTGTATGACTGGTTATATTTGGTGTAGGACTGGTTATATTTGGTGTAGGACTGGTTATATTTGGTGTAAGACTGGTTATATTTGGTGTAGGACTGGTGATATTAGGTGTAGGGCCGGTTATATCACAACTATTTTTGTCTATGTGCTGTAGTACTGGATACACCTGTCCTAGTACTGGTTACATTACCTCTAGAAAAGACCTGCTCACTTAGCATCAGCTTTTACTCTAGTTCCAATTGTGTGCATCCCCCTCCTCATTTAAAGTGACAGCTGACAGTGTGTCCAAGTCATATAGGCCCAGTTTATACCGCCAACAGCTGTGCCAACTTACATTGTAAAATTTGTTCAGATCAATTTCTTCCACATCAGCTGATGTTGTTTTATCTTTTTTTTCTAATGGATGATGGTTTTATTATGAAAATACATGGGTTTTGAGTATGTTTTCGCCCCAGTCTTCCAAACGACGTGCATGTATTTCTAAAGTTGTAAGTTTTTCTGTTTGAATCAACAAGCGAGCTAGATCCAGCAATCGATACGACGTATCGCTTTCCTCTTGGTTTCTCTGTGTGTGTTATACGATACACGTTGGTTAGTTGTGTTTGCTGTCTGTAACGACACTTGTGTCCGACTTTTGGTGTTAGTCATTGTGTAAACTATAGATCTTGATCTTTTCAATGTGTAGGCTAATGTATCCTCACGAACTCATATTTTGTATCTACATGTGCTCTATGTAGTATTAAGGACAGTTAATACAAGTATAGCAGTTTGTTTTGTTGCTAACCGCTAAAAGCTATGTTGCTGTTTTTTTGTTCGTCAGTGTGTTGTAATATGGCAGTGAGACAGGTGGTGTATCCTAGTATTTAAATGGTTTTGGGGATCAATAAGGATAAGTTATAAATAGAGAGCCGATCACGTGACCCCGAGCTCACACATCGAAGGGTCATAACCTCCTGCATTGCCGAGTGTCTGAGTTGAGGTGTTGCCAAATTCCTGCACTCTCTCTCAGCCGCTACACGTCTCTTGTGTAACCCTCACATTGTACGGCTGTAGTTAGAACTCACTTCAGGTGTGTGCTTGTACTATAAAGAAAATATTAAAAGAGTCCTGCTTTATTCAAAATCTAGAGCTGAAATAGTACTTATGGAGGGGGGGGGGGAGAAATCTATTGTTATTTCTTACAGTGCAGTCCCTCAGAGAGTATAAGTAAAAGCCTTCAACACAAATCTCCATATATTGTCATTGTATGACTATCATTCTTTTTAAAAATAACGTAAGTGGTTGATTCACTAACACCCTATGGCTAAAGCCCCCCCCCCCCTCTCGCTAGTCGAATGAACTGATGCGGTAGTGACTTACTTGCACACCTGCTATGAGACGTTATCTGCCTGTTTTAGTCGTTACCGGCTTTGATCTCACTCGTCCCAGATAGACCTGCTCTAACGTTTCGCAACTCTGCCATCATCAGCTGGCTCTAAGTTTTTCTCTCTCTCCGTCACATCGGCCTACAGTGTACCGTACACTGGGTGACCCCCAGCGTGTACATGTCTGTTCAACTTTCAAGGGCTCGTCTATCGTGGAGATAAAGTCTGTTGTTTTTATATCCGTGTTATTTCACGTTTTAACTGGGCCAGATGGTTAACTTTCTCATTACACCGTATAGAAAGTTGTTGGTTGATCTGATTTCTCATCTGGATGTTTCATACAAATAAAATGTAGTTCTAGTGGTGTAAGACTGTCTCTATGTTATCCGAGTTTAAGAAGAGTTCGAGTAGTTTTCAATAGTACACAGTGTGTTTTTTTTTCTTAGATTAAATGACTGTGACACTTAGGCCTAACATTATTTGATTCTACGATGTGTTGGCTAGGTAAAAAGGTCGATATTGTATTGTATGTGTTCGTATGGATATTAACTTTCTTTCGGTAAACATTGGATGTTACAGATACCTCTACACATTGTAACTTATTTTCTGGTTTAATACTATCGATATTACCTTTCGTTCGGTAAAAATTCAATGTTTCAGATTCCTCCACATATTAGCAGTTTTACTGTAAAGCTTATTATAGCACGAGCTATCTATTCACCTTTTGACACCGACTGACAGTTGATATCGAGTGTTGTTGGATGTACAATGTTTCCATAGAATGGTACCAGACATAAGATTTCAGCTTTAAATGTCACCGTGAGAACTATTGCAACATGTGGCTAATTAATGAGAGTCACACCGTGACGTTTCATTAAAATTAGATCGCTCATATTGATGAAGTAGCCTAATTGATTAGTTGGATTGCACGTGAGCGGTAGTTTGAGCTCACCGTGTTTTATAGTGGGAGGTACTGTACGTTCTACCTCAGTAGGTGACCCCATTTTACCTGTTGAGAAGTTGAGTACTATAGGTGAGTGCTATGGGAAACGTTTTTTTTAACCACTTGACCTACCCATGACTAAACCTAGTCTACCCCGTGCCTGATACAGCGTATCTAAAATCAGCTGTAGCGATCGATTCCACATACGTCGTATAAGCTGTGTAAAGTTCTCTAGAAATCAAAATGCCCGATACTAATGGTTTCTAATAACGTTTCTCTGTCAATAACACTTTCCATTGATTTGTATCGAACCTTTCCGCTGGCGCACATATCGAATAGTGCTAGGCGTCAGACTGAAGGTGGAATCCAGGTTTTACTGTCACGTTTTCTGGATAGTTTCAAGTGGACAGAGCAGGGTTCGATACAAGACTGACCTGAGATTGATTTCACTGGAACTGGTGCTAAAACAGCAGGACTTTAACCTCTCTCGTCAACAGAGTTTTACTCGACTATTTTTCATTGTCAACTTTCTACATTGTGTGCTCTATAGTTGTTGGTTTCCCACTCAACTGGTTGGATAAAAAAAAAACAACATTGCATAAGTGTGCGTCATACTAGAATAACAAAAGGTTTGTTTACATTTAGAATAACACGGCGCCAGGCCGCTCGAGTTTTCCATTAATCATTCTGGTTGTTAGGATACAAAGGCATTGTTTGCTTGAGATTTTTGACAGCAAACTTTAAAGAGGATTTTTCGGTGTTAAAGCGGAACTGAATATTTTCGTGGTTGCTCAAGTTTGTTTTTTATATT